CGAAAACGCGTTTATTGGCGTTTTTTGTAACTTCATGGGCGTTAAAACGGCGACAATTCCCGTTTTTGAGCGTTAAAACGCACTACTATTCTAGAACTTAAAAATAATACGTTTTAACGCTCCAAAATTGGAGTTTTCGCCGTTTTAACGCCCATAAAGTTACAAAAAACGCCAATAAACGCGTTTTCGTGCGTTCTTTTAATGAGCGTTAATGGCTTACAATTGCGGTTCCCGATTGTGCGTTTAAACGCGTTTTTCAAAATTTTTGTCTGACTGGGGAATGCCTAATTAATTAAGGACTCGAACTCTTTTCAGGACATTCATATTTCATTACGATCTATACGATGTACATAGTCCCGACATGGAAAAAAAAAAGTAATTAATCAATTGAAGGACTTCTCTTATCAATTTGAATGTTAACATATGCATGCAAATGGACATTGTAGAATGAATAGTTTTTTTTTTACGTACATCACATCGAAGTGTAGCAAGTTCTCCAGTTGTTGCAACAAGAATTCTTAAATCAGGCTTTGATATAATTGGTCCACAAACGAATTGTTCATCACTTAATGTAATAATTTTTTTATCAGCTAATGTTTTAGGCATTTCACATTGTGGTTCATCATGATAAATAGGATATTCAAGACGATTTAATGCATTACGTAACCAACGAAGACGACAATCACATTCTAAAGGATTTGAACTTAATTTAAAACGAAAATTATTTGGAAATTTTATATTATTTGTTAATGTTCTCAACATATTTGAATTTAAAAATAAGTTTTTTAAATTCTTTAAATAATTAACTATAGTCATATCAATATATTGAAGACGATTAAATGATAGATCAAGTTCTTCTAAACGATTATATGCTCGAATATCAGATATTGTTAAATGTTGAATTTGATTATGTGATAAAATTAATTTTCTAAATTTGACAAAAAAAATAAAATTTTCTTTTCTGTTGTTCTATAAATAAATAAATATACATACTCAAGATTACTATATTCTTCATTATTATTTGATATTTTTGGCATATATTCAAATTCGTTATTTGATAAATCAAGATATTCAAGAGCTTGTTGAATTAATATTAAAGCTCGATTATCTACTTGTCGTAATTTACCCTGTACAATATATAAATAACGTAAATCATTTAATTGATAATAAATATTTCCATATGAAAATTGAAGAAGACCATTTGATAAACTACTTAATCGATGATGTTTTATAGTTAAATTTGTAATAACACCACCACGTCTTAATTTTATATCTGTTTGTAAACTCAATTGTTCATGTATACATTGTTGATAAGCAATCAATGAATGAACATTGTCACAAATCATTGTCATTCCTGTACTATCTAAATTACATGAACATGACACTGATCGACTATGTACCATTCGAATTGATATTATCAATGGTAAATACCAAACTATGGTAAATATGAATAATTTCATATGACCATTTAAGAGAAATTTAAATAATGTAGAACTAAAATAAAAATATATATGTTTAGATTTACGTGATTAGTAATATAAAAGTAGACATGCAATCTTTATTAAGTAGTATGTGCACGACATAGACTTGTATACAATAGGAATGAATTAACCGTATCACACGAAAATAATCATATTTTCTTGACAGACCAAATTATCATCACTTTTTGTCAATTTTTTTCCAAATAAAATAAGTATATGAAAAATTAATACTTTTGTATGTTAAACTTATTTATAATAGAAAAAGAAAAAAATATATTTGAATAGTAAAATCAAAGCAAAATTGATTTGATCACTATTAAAATATCGAACAATTTTATATAGTAAAAAAAAAAAAAAAAAAATTAAAGATCTGATATGATGAAAGTTTCGAAAGCATGAAACATCATGTTGTCTTTTTTTTTTGTTCAATGTCAATGAATTCATTTCTTTTTCGCATGCATACATTTATATCGACTATTTTAATCTCGTGATTGATAAGCATGAGAGGAGACTAACATCATCGCATTTTGACTTGAGTTGATCGTAGTTAATTTAAAAGAAATAAAAAGTGACTTATTATATTCGAGAGAAAATAAATTCTTATCGCAAATACAACTTATTCGGGTCTTTTTATTTTTTTCTTTTATCAATAATGACCATCTCTAGACAATCGATAATTTTGTATGTTCATTGAAGTGACAAAAAGAAATTAAATTCAATCATTGGATTATACAAAAAAAAATATGACATAGATATAATCGAAATATATGTATATATACTCACATAATATTGTCCATAGATTTGTCTTCATTAACATGATGCTATTCGATAATTCATTCAACGTCTTGTCTACATCTATAAAGAGAACAAAGAAAATATATGCAATAATGTCCGACCGACTGAATGAAATTATCTTGAAACAAAGCCACTCAGTGTTCTTCCTGTTCGAATAGAGAGACAGTCATTTAACGTTTGAAAGAGACAGAGAGAAGGCAACTTTTTTTTTTTTCTTCTTTCCATCACACTACATACTCTCGGATGGACAAAGGGAGTAATAACAGATTGATCGACGATCGAACAGAATAAGAAGAAAAAAAGACGATTGAGGGCAACACCTTTGAACGGGGTCAAAATACAGAACAACGGTATAAAATAGAGAGCTAAAGAAGGAAAAGGACAACAAGAGGGCTAGAAATGATTATCAATATATGTCAATCGGAAATGTTGTTCAATAAAAGTCAAGTACTGATTATGTCTAGTCTATATATGATCATGATCCTTCTCTTTCTTTTAATCAAGATCAGATCAATTAGTTATTGAATAAAGGAAAAACAAAAAACGGAAGCATGCAAAAACACATATGGACTGTTAATGAGCAGCACTTGCGGCATCACCAGCTAGTATTCTAATGTTATTACAGACCAATCCATAAACAATAATGCTCTGGTGTATAATGTGCAAAGATTATCGTCTATCCGTATATACATTGGTACCATATGGACATCTTTTGTTGCTAACTAATACACCATTTGAATGCAAAAAGTAGATTGAATTCAGATGTTGCCAATGATTGTGATTTTGATAGAAATATACAAAGAAAGAAACAAGATAGGCGATGTAGAAGTATGCTTTTATGCAACAGAAGGGTGTTAGATCGAGTTATGATGAATGATTTTTATTGATAATGATATGTAAGATTTGTTTATCAGTATATATACATAATGTTATTAAGAAAGCGATGAGCAAAATAATCGGCACAAGATTTCTTTTTTTTTTTTCTTGTTCTTCTTCGTCTTGAAGTATCAACAAATCAACTATTTGACACATACACATAATCGTTGAGCAGGAAAGTACGAATCTTTTCTAATATTATGCAACAATCAAGTGACCTTACGGAAAAGAAAAGATATGGAAAATTGTAGATAATAGCAGAACATCACTAATATGTATGAATAAATGAACAAATGATAAGCGAGAGAGATATATCTTATGCACACATGTTGTTTCTCACTGAAGTCAAAGAGAAAACTGGGAACGTTCAATCTCATATAACAAATCTTTGACGAAGAAAAACACAACAAGATAGAAAGAGAAAGAAAGAAAGACAAAAGAATTTTGGCAGTTTTCATCATTGGTTATCTATTGTGAACAATTAAATTAAATCGTTCGACATTGAATATTTTCTCATTGTCAAAAGTACGAAAAAAAAAATTTTTTTTTATTTTGAAAATAAAGTTGTGAATTTTTTTTATAAAAGTTAATTTAGTGCATGGGAAAAGCGCCATCTACTTTTTTCGCATTTACCTTGGTTGACTCATTCATTTTATTTAAAAATGTGGTACCTACTATTCAAACGATTATTTCAACTAACGTTATTCTTCATATGGATTTTAACATTAATTTATCTTATATGTCTTTCAGCTTTTACTTTTGTTATTTTCAACATTTGTTTAATTATATTTTTATTTTGGTTTATATTAACATTAATCGGATGGTCAATTACTTTAATTCCTATTCTAAAATTTGTTTATGTACCATGGTATCATCGACAATGTCGTTTATGGACACAAAATAAACAACAAAAACGTTACAGTGTTGCTTTTTTTCATCCCTATTGTAAAAATGGTGGTAGTAGTGAACGAGTTTTATGGATTGCTATTGAATCAATTCTTAAAAAATATAAAAACGACATTCAAATCATTATTTATACAGGTGATATTGATATAACAACAGAAAAAATTCTTCAATGTGTTAAAGAACGCTTTGGTATAGACATGGAATTTTATGAATCTTCAATAACATTTATTTATCTTCGAAGTCGATTTTTAATTGAAGCAAACTATTTTAAAATATTAACTTCATTAGGACAAAATATTGGTTCAATTATTCTAGGTTTTGAAGCATTCATACGTTTCATACCTGATATTTATATTGATTCAATGGGTTATGCATTAACTTATCCATGTTTTTATTATCTTGCTTCAATTCCAATTATTTCCTATGTTCATTATTCAACAATTAATAGTAATATATTCGAACAAATAAATGAAGAATATAAAGCATATAATAATCAACAATCTATTATAAAGAATTCTTTATTAAATAAAATAAAATTAGTTTCCTATCAAATATATACCTATGTTTATGGTTGGTGTGGAAGATGTTCAAAAATTGTTTATTGTAATTCATCATGGACAAAAAAACATATTGAATCTATATGGAGATCATATTGTATTCATCTTGTTTATCCTCCATGTGATATTAAACAATTTTTAGAAATGTCATTGATTAATAATGATGAACAAATAATAAAAACAATTGTTTCAATTGGACAATTTCGACGTGAAAAAAATCATGAATTGCAAATTCGAGCTTTTCATCAACTTTTACAAAAGTATAGTTTAATTGATTTGGAATTAATTTTAATAAATTGAATTTATTTAGAAAATCAGATTATCGTCAAAAATTGAAATTAACATTAATTGGTAATATAAGACATAATGAAGATAGAAAATATCTAGAACAATTACAATTACTTGTTGATAATTTAAATATTAGTAACAATGTCATATTTAAATTAGATATAAACTTTCAAGAACTAAAAATTCAATTTAATCAAGCAATAATTGGTTTACATACTATGCAGAATGAACATTTTGGACTAGGTCTGTAAGACATCGATTATATTTGAAATCGGTTTTGATAGTTTTAATAATCAAAGAATATGAACTCAGACATTTACAAACTTCTTATTTGTGTTAAATAATAATTTCAAAAAATAAGAAAATAAATTTATGAATTCTTGTTAGAACATCATATCTTTATTGAAGAAAAATAGACAAAACAAAGCATAGAGGTTGTGCAATAGCAATTTTTCTGAGTTTATTAGGCTAAACAATAATTACAAATCTACTAAATATTGGTACATTCATTTTTTGCGTTGTTTTATTTCTTTAGGTATTGTAGAAATGATGGCTGCTGGTGTCATTGTAGTTGCTCATAAATCTGGTGGTCCACATATGGATATTATTGATGAAGGAAAAACAGGATTTTTCGCTTCGGATATTGATTCATATGCAACAATGATGGAAACGATACTTGAAATGAAATCTGATGAACGACGTCAAATACAAGAACAAGCACGTAACAGTGTTGATCGATTTAGTACATTAAATTTTGAAAGATTATTTATGGAATCTTTGGATAAGATTTTATTTGTAAAATAAATTATTTTTTTCTTTTGTTTTATTATTATTATGCTGAAATAAAGAACAAAGAGGACAAATGAAAAAGATATTTGATATTATTTTAGTATTTTAATATGGCATCGAAAGTTATTGGAAAATGTGAAAAAAATTTTATTATTCGATGTTTACGAGATCGACAAGTAAACTAAAATAAGAACTAGAAATTATTTCAATAAATAAATTTTATCTATTTTTTTTTTTAGAGACTTGATCATCGACTTCCGTTTGTTACTCGTGACATTAAAATTGAATTTCGAGAAGAATATGGTTCAGTTGTTGTCTCACTCGGTTTAACCAAGTTTGTGAGTTGATAAAAATTAGTTTGTTTATTTACTAGTCTTTTTCAAGAGTATTGGCACAAACATCTTGTAAAATTGTTAAACCAAAAGAAACTCGACCGAATGAAGGTCGATTAAGATTACAGTTAAAAAATAGTCATGCAATGGTGTTTAATTTTGAAACTGGAAGGTACAAATTTTTTAGAAATTCATTGCAAATTTTTCATAATATTTTATAGACAAACACAATGGACAACACTTATGAGTCGACATTTGTTACAAAATATTCGTGATTCTGGTTGTGTTGATATGGAATCATTATGTATTCTTGCTCATGAAAATGTTAGAATATCAATTTCAAATATTTTCTATAATCATATGTTGGTTTTTTATTTGAAGGTTTGGGAAATTAGTGTAAATTTACATGTACTTGATTATGATGGAAATATTCTTGATTGTGCTAATTTAGCTGCTCTATGTGCTCTTGCTCATTTTCGGTGAGATTTTTAATAAATCATCTTCAGAAAAAAAATCGTTTTTTTGTTCAAGATATCCAGCAGTAACAGTCATTGGAACAGACGTACATGTGGTAAAGATTTTCTATTAAAGTTAAAATTTTGTTTAATCTTGATTTTTATTTAGCATCCAATTAATGAACGAAATCCACAACCTATTCGTATTCTTCATTATCCAATAATGATTAGTTTTGCTCTATTCGAAAATGGGTTTGTTTTCAATTATTAAAAAAAATATATTTGTTGTTTTTTGAATTTTAAATTTAAGAGAATATATGTTAATTGATGCATGTGAAGCTGAAGAAAAAGTAATGGAAGGTTTATTCGCTATTGGTATGAATCAACATAAAGAATTGAGTACATTGGCTATGTTTGGAGAAATCTGTTTGAGTCGTGATCAAGTTTGTTTATGATAATTTTTTGTTTTTTGAATTTATATTTTGCTTTTATTAATTTTAGATAGAAAATTGTATTTCATTAGCTCATCATCTTGTACGTGACATAACAAAAGAGATGCGAAGTGTATTGGAAAAAAATCGAGAAGAACAATTAGAGAAAGTTCAAGCGATAAATCGTCGTTGAAAAACAAAGATTTGTTGTTATTTATTGGCAATACCTGTTTGGTGTTTATTAATAAAAACAAAGAATTAATAAATATGTTAAAGAAATCTAACTTGAATTCATTGTATATAGAGTACTAAGAGTGTGGGTGTGGGTGTAAATTATTCTCTTTTTTCAAACCCACATCCGTACCCCCCATCACGAGACTTATCAGCCTCTAATGGATTATATCGAATTATACACTAAAACATATCTAATCGGTGCTTTCGTTCAAAATTGAGCTAGGTAAAATTTCGAAATGTTAACAGGGACATTGCTATTTCAGAGCCATCGCATATCCAGAATATCGAGGAAACACTGGGAAAAGGCTAAGTATGTAATGAGACAGAGTCTTGCAGTCTCGGCTCACAATTTTATTTTCACAGTCAAGTCCATTGTTTCTAAATATATGTATTAATGTCAATAATAATCTTCAGAGTTGTTCACACAGATACACACAAACAAAATGGGATAAAGAATAATGCTCACTATGTATGAGACAAATGGGCAATGAGTTTTTTCTGCTTATTATTATTACTTTTCCTCAATGATTGCTATTGTTTAAATCGCCAGCAACAGTGTTTCGTATTGTTGAATTACCACCACTAAGTGTCTCTGATACACTTGCGTCTGTTCTTTCAGGTTGTAAATCATTATCAGACAATTTTGGAATTATATGTTGTTGATGTTACAAGTGTTCCAATGTAAGATGTTGAAGCATTATGAGGTATTGAAGGGCTAAAGTAAAACAAAAATATTTTATTAATAATAAAAAAGAAATAGTGAATATGAATTGGAATAGCATATAGCAAAAGTTATGTTTTCTATATACTATATGCACTACAACATTAATCGAACCTTATTGATCACTGAAAGTCATGAGAATTATGTTGAGAACTAATTGGTATAAAAAAAAATTCAATTATAATAATATTGACATGCGACAGCTTTCGGAATCTTTTAAGTACAACTGTTTGCAGTGTCATCCTCTTACTTGCTGGGAAGCGGAACTAAGAGTTTGACCATAATTAAAGATTTAAATATTTAAATACAAGAAAAAAAAAAAGGATAAGCCTTGCATAGAAGGTGATCGATAAAAGAAGAATATTGAATACCTCATTATTTTTATCATCATTCAATTTTGACAATTCGATTGGATGTAAGGTCACTCATAGGTGGCTCTCTTCTGATTTAAGATTAGTTAACAAACAAAAAAAAATAAGTTTAAGAATTCCAAATTAACATTTAAAAAAACTGATCTTATGAGATAGAGAACGAAGAAAAACATTAAAGATCGAATGAAATTTCATTCTTACCGTGTTCGTTGTTAAGCTGAATTTTCTTCAATTTCATCTTCTTCTCGTAAGGCTTTACGTAAACGTTGTTTTCATTTGGGTTACTTCTTCTTCTCTTCGTTTCATATTACGTACACGCACACTTGCTTTTTCAGCCTTTATAAAACAAAAAAAAAATTCATTTTTTCTCGAATATGAAATTTTATAATTACTTGTTCTTTATAACCATCTGCTTGTTTTCAAGATCCATCAGGCAAGAGCAGTAGCATCACGAAGATGTTTTTCAAGTGTACGAACACTTAGACTAATATTTTGTTTTTCTCTATAAATAGACATAAACGAAATATTAAATATGATTAAAATGTTATTTTATTTTTGTATACATAGCGAACTTCGCCATCTAGTGGTTTTTCAAGTTCATGAACTTTGGCTTCAAGTGCTCCAAGCATGGTTCTTGATTTTTCTTTGCCAAACTCTCCATTTTCTTGAAGTTTTTCGCGTAATTTTCGCTCTTGTCGTTCAAGATTACTATGCACAGCCTCGAAAGCATATCGAATTTTAGTCAAATATTTCTTTTTTTTGTTATCTATAATAAACTTACTTAAGCTTTTTGATTATTAACTTTTTCAGCAGCAAGATCAAGCATAAGTTGTTCAACAATTATTGCTAATTTTTTATGTTTATCACAAATTATTTCTGTATTTGTTTGTTCTTCTTCTAATTCTTCTTCCAATTGTGTTATATATGCTTCAAGTCGACGTTTTTCATAAATAAATGCACATCTGAGAAAAAAAATAATGATTTGCTGTTTTTTAATTAAGAATTGAAAATAAAAGAATAAACGTACTTTTCACTACCAATAGCAGCTAATTCTTGTTGAAGTTCATCATGTTCTGCTTGTGTTTGACAACATTATCGATCAATAAGATCTTTTTCATCCATTAATTGTTGAAGACTTTGTTCGAGAGTTGTTGTTACTTTTGTTTGCCATTCTTTAGCATTCATCAAAGACTCATTACGTATGACTTAAATTTCTTCCATTTCACGTGTTGCTTCACGAATTTGAGTCTTAAAAAATCAATTAGACAATTGATATAGAAAAGATTCAAGAAAAATTCGACAAAAGGTTTCTAGGATCTAGGAGTCCGAATCTATATGGGGGTTTGTCGAAATTTTTTCATTCTATAAAGGCTTAATCACATTTTATAAAACTCAACAACTTTTTTTCTTAATAGGCCTTCTCCGACGAAATAAGTCGAAATGAATCTAAGATCACCGTAGTTTTATCATGCGTTCATAGCCTTCGCTGTTATTCCATACACNCTGCAACGTAAACACCTTCGCCTCTAGATCGAATATTAGCCGGTTTGCGACGACCTATAATACAAAAAGAGAAAGAGTTGTGCGTGCTCTTTTCAAGTAGAATAAGGAGCGAGAAAGTTAGAGATAGAGAGAGATGTAGAAAAAAATATACTTGTTGCACAAATCGAAAATCAAATTCATATATGTGAAAATGAGAAAAGAAAAGGAATAAAAACGAAAAAAAAAAACTTTATACGATACTGTTCATTTTAATCGAAAGAAGAGATGAATAGAAAAAAAACGAAGAATTTAAGCTTTTCAAGTTGTTCTCCTACGTCGAATTACCTTATCAAAGAGAGAGAATGAGGGGAATATTAATCGACGTTCCCATTGAACAAAATTGATGAAGGTTGAGAATTTTTCGGCACGCATGCATGTACTTCTCAATATATATATTAAGATATATGAAATATAAAAAGCAAACGACGAAGAGGAAAAGGTTAATGAAACGCGATTTAAACGTCATCGAATATTATACGATCATTTTATTTTGCTTTTTTGAAGATTGGTGAACTTATAAGGGAACTAATCGAATTATAACCTGCGGTTTGAGCTAATATTAAGCTCGTAAAGAGCATTTGCAGTCGAGTAATGATCAACATAGTGAACTTTCAAACGAAAATTTTGCTCATAGATAAATCTAATGATTCTTGAAATAACCTGACAGCTTCAGCCGAAAACAACATTCTTTTGTCGAGATATTGAACTTTCCAAAAACAAAGTGGTTTGCCAAAAATCGGCTTTTGGAGGAAATTAAATATCTGGACAAAGGAACACTTTTTTTCGGGTGAAGCTTTCGGAATATTCTAAGGACCAATAGACTTATCTATAGGCAAATTTTCAGGTCGAAGATTCAGTGCAATAACTATAACTCGGCTACAAATGCTCAAGAGATCGAACCCTTTTATACTTTTTCTAGTTTTACGGAGATCGTCTGGTAGACCTAATATGAGTTCAACGGATGAGCTACAATTGCAGTCGTTTCTTTCATTTGAGAGAATATTTCGTCAGAATAATAATGTGTTATTGTTAGTCAATGAAAGAAGATGTAGTATGTTATCAATTAAGATACATTAGAAAATGTAATCTATTTTCTATAGTTTATCACCTTAAGAAATGATCACTGATTTTTGATGAAAAATCTGCTTATTTAATTATTGAGCTCATATTCTAACTATTTAATAATATATTTTTTGCTTCTAGAAAATATTTCAAATACAAATGAAAACAGCAGATATACATTATAATATAATTGGACAAATGATGTAAGACATAAATAACTTCTCTAAAGTTTTAAACAAATAACACATTGTTTTACTCTACTAATAGACATAAATTTCTGTCTATTGTTATACAAATTTAATTAACGTTCATCAATACATATAAAATTATTTACAAACAAAATGTATAACTTCCGATCGAAACAGGGTGGGCGTCATAAACTACAAAAATATAAATTTTGACTAATAATTCTTTTCGTTCTTAACCAACAAACTATTCATCAATACAACCGATATAAGCCGCAAGAGAAAACAAATCGAAAACGTAAGTTTCAATCAATATTTTATCCAGTGGTGAAAACTTAGACCTTCCGAAAGAAAGAATTCGGATAAAACACTTGTTCTCGAATGTTTCCGTTATATCAATATTACCGTTTATTGATAATATCATAGATTGTAATGGTGGTTCCGTCTGTCCTTCATTACTATGTTATTGCTTTCTTTCTTTCCTTCTTCGTCTTTTTTGGCTTCACCATATAGACATGTTCTTTGCGTCTTCATCTTTACCTTTTCATCGATACGTACCACAATGTTGTTTTCCTTCATCGTCCTCATCGTATTACCTTTTTCTTTTCTATTCGAAATCGATGAAGAAGAAAAATAGAAAGGCATACTTCTCTATGAATAGCTCTATTCTCTGTAAATAAATGCTTTTTAAGTAAATATATACATACATGAATGATTATTATTGAAGAAAGGTAAATTATAGTACTTCTTTTATCAAACAAAAAAAACGCAAAAGTAAGGGAAAAAACGAAAATTTACCATGTATATCAGTAATATCAATTGATGGACTGCCTGGTTCAGCTGTTTGCCCATCGATTGTAATTTCTTGTAAAACATTAGCACGCATAGTTAAACTCATTTTAACATTAACATGATTAGCATTAAGTCGATCATGTACATTGACGCAGAATGGTGAGCCTTAAAAGAAGAAGAACAAGAAGAAGAGGTAATGAGATCAAATAAAAGAAAAAACGAATCATTCAATTTTCATTATGCAAACAAATGAGAATTCTAACCTGGAATATGATGTTCAGCAAATTTAATTGCTATATCATATTGACCAGCTTTTGTCTAATCAAACAAGCAAAAAAGATACAAATTTAAATTTCAAGGATCTTTTATTTTGATTTCTTTTGCTTACAGGTAAATACTCCATAACACAAGTACCATCTTGATTATCTTTACAAACCATTTTAGCTTCGGATGGTCCTTCAATTGTTAAAGCAAGACTACCTTGTCCAGCACTTTTTGTTTCAATTGTAAATGTTGTTGGTGCATTTGTTGTTGCATTTTCAAGGCCAGATCCATAGGCACGTACACGTGTTGAATCACAACCTGGAACAGCACTTACACGAAATGGACTACCAGGAACAGGAATATTTTCATAGGTCACTTCTAATTGATGCATGCCTAGAAGCAAAAAAGAAATATTTTATGTATAGAGTTCTTTAGTTTATTTTAATTAATTATACCTGGTTCATAAGGTGTATATTGAACAAGATAAGTTCCATCGGACATATTTTTAACAGGACATCGAACAACACGATCACTTGGTGATGTTAATAAACATTCAACATGACCTGAACCACTACCCGTTACTAATTTAGCATCAACAGTAAAGTCAGTTGGACTTTCAAGAAATACTCCTGGAAAAAAAATGAAAAATTAGAAAAAAAATTCAAAGAAAAAAAACAAAAACAATATAAAGCATTCCCTCATACACCAAAAGCATAAGTTATCATCGAATAAATATTATATTCTTACAAGAATTTTCGAATAAAAGTTATTAGTTATTAATAATATCTCAAAAGATCTAGAAGAGAATATGTTTGTTTATGTGTGTCAAGAAAAAGTTTTCCCTTTCATTAGATTAGACATTTTCTATTTCGAACCAAAGCACGTCAAACGAACATTAGAGACAAAAGGAGAACAAGCAGTAGTTCATGCAAGCGATATTATTTAATGGCAAGTTAAAACATGCAATTGGAATGATTAAATAAAGGGATAAATATATATATAGATAGATAGATATATGTTATTGTTGTTGTCGTTTCCATAGAATCTTACATACCGTTTGAATCGAGACCAGGTCCATAACAACGAATAGAACGTGTATCAAGATCAGCACGTACAGCCGAACGAAGTGATGAACCTGGGATATATGTTCCTTTATATAATATATTGATATTGTAATTACCAGAGACTGTATTTTATAATAGGAGGATGTGGAGTGTGGGTGTGAGGGTGTGGTGTGCGGATGTGGATATGGGGATGGGTGTTGGGTGCGGAAGTTGGTGTGAGGATGTGTGATGTAGGTTTCATCCTTATCTGCTCGCACACTCACTCACACCTACTCCCACATCTGCATCGACACCCGACGGTTTGACATTGTTTCATCGTCATCAAACAAGCAAAGTTAATTAGAACACACTTTTGAAATTTTGTCCCGACGGTGAAAAAAATGAGAAGGAGAAAATAATTAAATTTTGATGAAATATTCTGTCAATAAAAGTATCATTTAGCGAAAAACATATGATTCCATCGAGTCTACTCATTATACCTAGTATTTGTTACCAGATTCAATAAAACAAAAAGACGAACCATACTCACATTCACTTAAATAACTTAAACCCCCACCCAGTTTAGAAGCCCCCGGGGCTTCTAATTTGTCCATCGTCCGAAAGTTTCGGAGGGGACTTCTATTAAGTCCTAAAATTTTTCAATTTTTTTTTATGGCAAAAGATTTCAAAGGACTTGAGGGATTTTTAGGGTTTTTAAGAGTTGTTCAAACAACTTCCTAAGAGATTTCAAAATTTTTATGCTGATAAGTAAGGAAACTAAAAATATTCTCACCTTAAGATCGCGAATTTTAAGAGTTTTTCGATGCAAATATCAACAAAAAATTTCCAAAAGTTTTTAAAATCAGAGGGGCTTCTAATATGAGAGGAGCTTCTATTACGGGAGGGGATTTACTCTCACGTGAGAACATCTCGATACGGTCGACATTAATATCATGATATAGAACTATAGCAAGGAAGGAAAAAATAAGTTTTTTTGTACAAAGTGCCTGAAACAATCGTTGGCGAACACAAGAATCAAAACTAGAGCAAACAATGGTAGATAATTCTACCAATTTGATTCCAATTGTCAAATATTTTGAATAACTGAAATTGATATTTGATAAGCAAAAATGAGGATTTCTTGATAGGATCAATTCTAACTTTTCATGACTTTCGCTGTTCTCAGTTTGTACAGTTGCCTTTTTCCTAATAAAATATTAAAATGTTCTATAGAATATCCATTCTTATATAATAGACTTTCTCCTGGTGAACTTACCAATAGACTTCTTTGCTTTATCAATACTAGAGATGGAAGTTGATTGATGCTGGTTTTTGAATTCGAGAGCCTTTTTACGCCATTGAACACTCTTGTCATAATCACCGACATGCGATGCGAGTTTGGCAAGATCTTCATACAGATTACCAAGTAAATGACTACTTGGTGAAAGTTGCTCTAACAAACGATTGAAGTATTTTTCAGCCAAATCAAACTTTCCCATGTCCCATAATAGCTTTCCTAATGTTTGAAGGTCTACCTCTCCAGTGCCCAGCTGCTGTTTCATATCCACGAGAACTTGCTTTAAGTCATGTTCATCATCACTACATAGAGTCATTCGGATGATCCATACGCTACCATCTTTGCTGCGATCGATGCTGTCCAAGCGAAAAATAGAACCAAGCATAAAAAGTATTTCTGATTCGCCAGAAAAATCACTATGTGCACTGATATCTGCGAATGGTTTTGTAGTGACCATCTTAGGATGGGCATCGATTTCAAATAAGATTGGTTCTAAATTGTCTGTTGCATAAGAAACGTTGAGAAATGAATGAGCTTGCTGATAAGAAATACTGGTGGAAAAAAATGAATTCACTGAAATGAACTGACCGCAATATTTTTTCAAAGTTAGTAGCTCATCACTGGATATCATTTGGCCTCGATAAACTCTCAAAGGATGTTTAGCTTGATAGTTTTTCAATTGGAGATAAATATCGGCAATAAACGCTCGAAATAGAAAAATCATATGAATATTTTGGTTGCGTAGAGCTGCATTAAGAGTTTTGTAAAAGAATGATTCTTGTGTATACCACCATAAGACTTTGTCAGGTGAATAATCCTTTTGAAACTTATTAAGGTTGTTCAACTCGACACTGTTACCTTCATACTGTTGTTTACAACGGTTAATAAGTTCTTCTGTATCTGTTTGAGTACATTTTAGTCGTAGAAGACAATCGATGAGAACTTGAAAAAAAACAAACTGACCATTTATACCCATTGTTGATGTACCTGCACCAGCACTGGTAGTAAAAATATTGATTGAAAATGGTTCTTCCACTATTTTCTGAATTTTATGATCAGCTTTTATTCGAGAAATGAGTTCATTAAGGTCAACCATGACAGCTTTTACCTATCAAAAAAAATTTCTATCATGAAATATAAACCATTCAATCTAATTTTACTTTTCCAAATTTGCAAGCCCATTTTTCATTACCTTCCTTATCCATACAGTACACATAGATTGATATAACTTGTCGAAGTTTATAAATAGTGGGGACTATTGTTCTTCCCAATTGACCACTAACAATCATGACTACTCGTTCATTTTGTGATCGTTCTTCAATATACTTTTGGCATTGTGCTACATCTTGAAACTTCTTCAGTCGATTAATGATAGAACGTAGTTTTTGTTCTGTATGTCGAACCTCTTGAGCGTTCGTATTAGCATCAAGCCAGATAAGACAGAAAATTTCAAGCACATCATCGACAGCCGTCTGAAAGTCACCAGATGGGAGAACAGTAGTAGTCATGCTAATCAAGAAGACTAGATCGGATAGAAGTTGTAAAAATAGCTGTTAAGATTTAGCTAACGAATATTTAAATGTTTTTGGCAATCTAAAACAAATTTCAAACTCTCACTTTCATTGTTTTATCTATTACGTAGTATCTGCAATGCTATGTAAGAGAATAGAAGAGCAAGCTATTTGAATTCATCGAAGACAATGAGTTCCCTCTGGTTCTTAGCTTTTATAGGTAAGATCATTGAAAAGAGAAGTAAAACTTTAGCATGGATCGAAGTTATGTATTTTTTTTGTTTAGTCATCTAACGTGATTATAAATCTGACTATATCATCTCTCAATAAGTTGAAGGTATAGGTGCGAATTTGAGTGAAGTCTGAGTGTGGCTGAGTAAGAGTAAACTAGATACACGCTCTAAACCCAACCCCCACCCCCATACTCCATCTGACTACTTCATGAATAACTCTGAAGCTTTACTCACTTCAGCTGAAGCATGAATGTTTGTTTGGAAGCTTTTCGCCCTCAGCCACAGCTAGAACCCCATAGAATCATTCACCTTATGTATGGCGGATGCAGCTCGATAAATTTACGAGACCGCTGATTGAAAAATCATTATCAACTGATGGAGTGAACGGAAACCTGTGAAGGGTATCAATTTCTCATGTGTCGAAACCCTTTTCTAATTAGTCTTCCGGTCATATGTTAGCCCTGTATACGATATTTAAAATACTTTCTAGTCTTAGAAATCCTTCTAATAAGTTGCACATCAAAACCAAGTAACCAAAGCCAACTGTACCAACCAAATTTCAGTGATTGCTTCTTCCAACTCTGTCGAACATTGTATATATCCGACGGGTCTCTTGTTTGTCGAATGATTCGCATGTTATTTTTTGCATAAAAGCAATATTTTACGCTCTGTTTTTGTTTCCTTTTGCCTCCCTCTGGTTTTCGTTTTTCTTTTCGAATTCTTATCAAAAACACACTCTCTTAGGGAGAGTGCACATGGTAATAGCAAAATATTTACTGTAAAAAGCAGAAGACGATTGATTATAAAAGAGAGAAAAAATTCATATTTGCATAAAGAAATTCATCTAATGGAGAACATATACATCCATATTTATTACTATATGACGTCTAGTAGTTGATAGCATCTAAAGATTGACAGTGACTAACAAGCATAAAATTCATTGGATACCTATGAGAAGAAGATCTGATTATTTAAAGCTAGTAGAGCATGATTTTTCTGTAATTGGCTTCGCATTTTATTTCATTTTGATATAGTAGAAACCTACCTGATTATAAGCGCCAGACAAGTTTTACCTAAGATGATGAAAAAAAGTGACTATTGTCAATATAATTACTATTTTTCGAAGTGAATTGATATTTTAAAAAGTTCGACATATCTTATCTCTCCAATAAAAAAGGAAAGGTAGAGAAAAACTGGTTTGTTGATGTTCATTTAAACTTAGATTTCAAAAATTTATCTATGTTACATAAAGAATATGTATTTAAAAAAGTTGTTTTATTTACTCCGTAATTCATGCGAGAATACGCAATCTTTCAAAATAGTCAGACATGAACATGGAAATCGAAATTAAGAGTATGCTGTTCTGAACTTCAACGACTATAACAATGATCTTATTGAATACGTTTTGCTTGCAACTAAAGATTAAGAAAGATTTTTAATAAAGATAGCAATTTAGACACATCCTGAAGTGTTCTTTTGATAATGCCTCAAAATCATAAGAGGCTGACATGAAAGAAATACAAATTTGAACTAAATTCTGAACGGTTTTGTCATAGTCTATTAAATATACATACAGAAATACAAAAAATGGCTCAAAGGTTATTTAATTGGTAAAAAAATTGAATCTCATCGGATGCATTCAAATAATAGGTTCATTTTTCTATCACTGATTATGAGAAGTACTCATCATTTCTATTCATATGATTAACGTGGATAATAGTGTTTTCAAAAATCTTCGAGAACTTCAACAAGAAGTGTCATCAAAGATAATTTGCAAAAGAACTTTGCTATTTCATATGAATGTTAGTTTCAGTGTAGGTATGAGCGTCAGTGTATTTCGACATAGGGATAGAAGAGGGAGGACAGGAAATGTGAGGTGACAGGGAGAGAAAACCCGCGCCCATATCCACAAATAGCATCGACACTCACACTTCGTCATAGGTATTAATGACTCAAGAAACCAAATAAGTGTTCCTATTTCTCAAGATTTCCAGTTACGTCAATCAAAAATAATTGATCGATAACCAAATATTTTTCCTTAATTTAAAGAGAATACTTTTAAATGCTATTATTCATGAAGAATATAGGTAACGAGATCGATGACTGTTAAGTTGAAAACATTACCAAAAAAGAGTTGCGAATGACAAAACTATATCTATGCATCAGTTGAATGAATTTAAGCTAAGTTGATTTTCATCTTTAAGTGTTTTAATATTAATAAATAATTCTTTTTGTTTTGCGTTAAAATTGTTCAAATTCTTTTTCAAAATAAGTTAAACGATTTTCCGTATTATTTGACAGAAAAGTTGCATGTCAGTTTCGAAGTAATAGTTCGAACTATTTATATTTTTCAAGTATTCAACCTTTTATGAATTATCTATCCATATTGATGAACTCATACAACGCAAATATCATTCCATTAATGTACGTAACCTTGCCATTAGCTGTTAGTCGTTCAACTTAAATATTAAAGTCATAACTCATGGCTTCATAATCAATTTTAATTATTTTGATTGTTATTCTAAATCTTGATTAAATGTTGCTTAGAATCATTTTCATCATGTAAAATGTTATCTTTGTATGCTTTTTCAAGTGTTCGATGAAAACCTACTTAATTTGATTATTATTTCAAGTTCAAATTTAGCTTGAAGATTATCTTCAGTAAAACTTTTCTTGACAATAAAAAAAACAGAATAACTTTCTAACAAGATAGGATTTTATCACAATCAGCTATATCCATGCATCGTTGTTTGCCACTCCCGCTGTTCATACCTTCCAACGTTGATAACTTGTTAACTGAAATAGTTGTTAGATCAAATAAATCATGATTAACAAGAGTTTCACGTTATATATGACTGTTTCCAATCGATTAATTCAGCTTTTCTTATTGTCGAAAATATATCAGGAATATAGTCACTATCATGCATCGAAATTATTTCTCTAGATAGTTGTGTATATCTCGTATAATAGTAGGCGCATGTATTCTTCTGCATTCCAATAAGATAATTGATTCATCTAATGAACTAATCGAAAGACATTTCATTCCTAAACATATATAATATAAAATTTAAAAAAAAATTATTTTTTAATATTTAGACAGAAGAAGTGATATCACAAGGCGAAAAAAATAGAATTACGTATATGAGATAGATCAGTTTTTCCAAGACTCATCTATTATTATTGTTAGTGATTAACACATCATATTATTTTATCGAAGTTCAGCAGCTATGGTTTATTTCTTTTTATCAATATCGTCATTTTTATTATACAAATATTTGTTGTCATTGAAAGTTATCTTTCGGATTGTAAAACTTCAAACTAATCGATATTTTGTTAGCAGTTTTTTAACCTTCTGGTCATTATACAACAATTTTTTCTAAGTATGATTCGAAATTTTCAAGAATTTTGATCCTTGCTATTTTACACAAGAAATCGGTTGGTTTAATTCTCAACGTCTTTCGAACATTGATCAAATCGACAGACGTTTTTATAAACCTATACAACGTGATGACTTTACTAAATACGAAAATCAATTAATTAAATATTAAACATTATTTAAAACTTAAAAAATATATAATCTAAAGAAAGATTTTATTTAATAAAAATTTTCTCATTATACCCTAAAGTATTATTATCTACTTAATAATGATAATAGAACATCATGTCATTCAGTTGCACCGGTTGCTTTTTTTTCACTGAATTCTTCTGTTCCATTTGTTTATCTAATTTAACATGATATTGCCCATTCATCTTACTAATCGAGTTGCACACACCCATATATATATATATAGATAGATACATATTCATAATCATACACAATACAACAATACCAATACTTATCTATTGATTATTGCAAACAAAGATTCGAATATATATTTATCATCATTTTACGGATGTTTATTGTCATATGGCTCATTTGACACATGCAAGAAAAAAAAGCAATCCAAGTATTTATACATGATAACTAGACAACAGACAATATGATCATAGTCGCATCGTTCTTTCATCATTTTCCTCAAGATAATCTCAATTTCTGCTAAAACTACTAGCTCAAGGGTTGTAGATTATGTGTATTTGACCCGGAACGGGAATACTGACTTGTATTCTCTTATAATTGGATACAGAAAAGAATACAAATTACTAGATCATTATACATCGATATCAATATTACTGAATTAAATGAAACTGAAAAGATTTTTTGCCGCCTATATAATTTCCTAATTCATCGTGCCGACAAATATGTTTGTGTTTGTCAGGACGAACAAAATCATTAGTGTTGTTCACGATTGATAGAAGATAATGAATGAGTCAGTTGCAAAATGATAATGATGTATATATTGTACTGAATTTTATTATTTCAAAAAAAAAAAAATTTTTCTTTTCTTTTTTTCTCATTTAATCATCAGTTTATTTTATGTCAATCTATATACACATCTGATTGTATTCACATCCATTGAAAATCCTTCGGCGATCAAATAATCATTATACGAATAATTTTTTTCCTTTTTTCTTTTTTTTTTTTCGTATTCTAAATATTTAGCCGTTGTGCCGACTTAAATTTCGTAACACACTGTCGGCATTAACCAAAGAAAAGTAAAATGAAAGCAGCTCATCTTTCATTTATTAATCAGTAACGATTGATACATTGATGTTTTCAACACGTGTCTTCTTCACAACACATTTATCTTGAGACGAAAAGAGAACAAGTGTTATTTTGACATTCTATTCGATGAGAATATATTATAAATACTTGCTCAATTGTCGACATCAAAAGCTTAATAATAAAATCGAGAAAGAGAAAGAGAAAAGCAAAAGAAAAAAAAAATTGTTTTTGAAGAGTATCACATATATCTATCTGACTTTTTCGAAAAATTGTCTAATGAAGTGATATACGCGTGATTGGCAAGCAAATATAACGGCGTTTCGCTTGTCTGCCACCATACACTTAAATATCAACAATGAATATAGGAAAAGACAAAGAGAGAAAGAGAAAATAATGTTATTGTGAATACGATGTGTCTCTTCAAATGTCATCGAGTCAATTTGCTCTCTCTATTATAGAGCACCGTATGGTACTTAGTAAATGATATTTGATCGTCTTCATTATATCATACAATATTTTTTTTTGCAACTAAAGCATTTTCATGGTAATCAAAGTTTAACTAATTTGAAAAAGATTCTATCATACTCAATATGGTGTTTTTCAAAATCTAAGACGAAAAGATCATTTGATAAAGTTACTAATTAACTTCATAAATCAAAAAAGAATAGTTCGTCTCTTTTTATTTTTTTTTATAACCTTATCGACTTACAAAATCTAAGGAAACTGAAATATTAATAAATCAATTTATTATCTTCTTAAACATATACATTGTATTTATTCATTGGTCTATTTTTTTCTTCTTGTCTGCATGTCTATTGGTCGAGATATATATCATTACCACCTCGGCTCATCTTTCTCCGACTTTTTTTTCTTTCTCAAACACATCATGGCACGATAAGCTCGTGCATAGTATACAAAAAAGAACTCAAACGACAGACAAGAGGGAGATCATTGATTACCTCTTTCTCTTCAAAAGAAGAGAACTAAAACTCTAAATATTTGCTAGTCAATCGTCGGCACAAGCAAGCAAATAGAACGCAGAGAAAAAAAAGAAGAAGAAGAAGAGAAGAGAAATAAATGTTAGTGCAAGCCCAAAAAAAAGGCGATGAAGAGAAGAGAAAGGGAGAGATAGATCGAGTGATAAAGAAGAAAAAGCTACGCAGTAAGTATAATTGAAAATAAGCAACCCTAAGGTGAATTCGAGTGAAACCGAGTGCAACGGAAATACCGAATCGAACCGTGAATTAACGTACAAACACGGGACATCGAGCGTAGCCAAAGTAGATCAAACCTACCTTCTCTATCAACTATCCAACAACTTACAACAATTGCAATGGGTATGTAAATTGTCTATAGATGAATGACGATTGTATATATGAGATAGCAAAAAAAAAAAAAAATTTCATCACTGTTTTTTTTTTTCGTATGTCTTACCTCAGTGACACTAGGGACATTTACTCCTATGCTCACTATTTGCAAATATTCATTGAGAGAACAAAAACAAAAACAAAACAAACCGAAATAATTTTTTTCAAATATAACAAAAATCAATAGTCTAGTTGCATCATGAGAAAAAAATTTTATTTGATAAGTACGATGACAATATGAAAGCAACTTCTGTCTTGTTTTGATGAAGTAATATCCTTAGGGGGTGGTGGGTACTAGGAGCAATCATCCTTCTCTTTCGCCAAATTCTAGATCTGCCATTGAATTATTGTATTTGTTTTTATAAAATAAAAAACAAACTGTTCATCTAAACAAATATTGTTTATCGATTAGAATAATCGTTTTGTTTTTTTTCTTCTTTTTCTATTGAACCAATCCAAATATGATCCGAAAGAAATAAGTGTCATCAACTCATATCAGGCGAGAAAAAGATGATAGATGATCAAATTTCATATACACACAATCTTGCTAAATGATCATAATCATCTTTCGATTCATTGGATACATTTGTTTAGCAGAATGAAAATATATCTCCTGTGCATATGATCAATAATAATAGAAACTACGTGCTATCAAAAATCGTCGTTCTATAATAATAATAATAATGTTCAATTCTTTTTTGTTTCTAGCTGATTATTCATTTAATGATAACAGTTCAAGTCAAAGTTATGGAGAAGTTAATCAACTTGGTGGTGTTTTTGTCAATGGACGACCATTACCAACACCAATTCGTTTACGAATTGTTGAAATGGCTAATTTAGGAGTACGTCCATGTGATATTAGTCGTCGTTTAAAAGTTTCACATGGATGTGTTAGTAAAATTCTTGCTCGTTATCATGAAACAGGTAAGTTGTTTTTGAACGAACTATTTAGTATTTTTGATTTTGTTATTTTTTGTTTTGTTTTTGTTGGAGGTTCTGTATTACCAGGTGCTATTGGTGGCAGTAAACCACGTGTAACAACACCACGTGTTGTTGGTCGTATACGTGATTATAAAGTTAAAGATCCTGGCATGTTTGCATGGGAAATACGTGAAAAATTATTATTAGATAATGTATGCGATAAATTTAATGTACCATCAGTATCATCAATTTCACGTATTTTACGTAATAAAATTGGTCCTTTATCACAACCATGTAATGGAATTGGAGAAGGAAATAGTGAACATAGTGATTCAAATTCTTCCCCACCTGTTCCATCAACATCATCATTTGTATCAACTACAATACCTTCATCTACAGTATCAATAACAAAACATGAGCTTTCACCCATTAATACACCATCAACTTTGTCATCATCTGGATCAATATGTAAAATAGAACCACCAGCATGGTTACCTTATGATCAAGTATCAACATCACATCATCATCATCGTTATCTTTATCCAACTGTATCGTATCATTCAACATTTCAACAACAATTTGAATCAGCTATAAAATCACCTTATACAGGAGGAAATTCTATTGTATCTAATTCAGAAAGTCCATTTTTACATACACCTCATTATCATCAACAAAATTATCATCATCATCATCATCATCAACAACAACAGAATACATCTATTAATAATACAGCGAATTATGCATCGTTTTTTAATCCTTTTCCCTATGCGCAAACAAGTAATTTTGCTGTTGCAACGCCATATTATTCATCGTCTTATGGTTTACCGTTGACACCACAAGCTTCGTAACAAAAAAAAAAGACAAAAGACAGTTTTTCTGCATTGTTTTCTCTTTTTTTCTGTATTGACAAATTTTGTGTGTATGCGTGTTTTCTTCTTTAGCAAAAAAAAAAATAATAATAACAAAAAGCAATCGAATGAAGAAAATATTTATTATTATTTTATTTTGTGTTCCAGCTAGCAGACATTTATATATATATATGAGTAAATTGTGACTTTTTAGTACAAATGTTGCGAAAAAATGAAACATTTTTGAGTAGCACATTTGATTATATATTTTTGTCTATGTTGTATAGCAAAACTCACGATAAATTTTGTGGTACAGTTTGAATATATCCGGAATAGTAAAAGCTAGAACATTGAAATTATTATCGCTAATATAACTTTTTTGAATTCTTCTATTCAATCTGCAAGTTTGAATGAAATCGGAAGAATTCATTTTATCAGACAAGCGTCTTATTTACATATGTCATGCTTAAAAATGTCATCGTTTTTTTCTTCTATCTGTCAATCCTGTAATTTGATGTTGATGATTATGAAGGAAGTAGAAAAAATCTTGCAATTCATTCATATATATTTTAATGTAAAATGTCTTTTTAAAATTTCAATACATGAATAATGTTTTCTATATTATTAAATGATTTGTAAATAAACATTGATTTCTTTTGTTTTTGTCAGATAAGATTCTTTCAATTTATGTGATTGACAGTAGTCTATGGTGATTGTATCTGTTGAATATGATCGGTAGTAAACAGGTGAATATAAATTTTCATCGATAAGTGTGAAAAATCAAAGTCATTAATCTCCGATATAGTGATCTATCAGTTGTTGTCTAATGGCACAATATGTTTGTTAAAAGGGCAAACATTTATCGTTCAGTTGATGAGAAAACAAAAAGCAATGCAGATATTACGCGATGATAGTCATTAAGGAAAAAAAACAACGAAGTCATTAATCTAATTTAGAATTGTATTTAAATGTACAAACAAACAAAAAAAGAATTAACTTCTTCACCTGTTGAAAATCATATCTTATTTCATTGATAAATGGAAGTGTTAAGGAAATTGTAATTTATTCTTTGAAACAGATATGTAAAAAACAAAGCCAAAAAAAAAAATAAAGCGAAACAGATGAAATGGACAGCACATGATTTGTATTGGAATAAATTATGTATACATCACGTGTATGATTGAAAAATTGACTGACACTCTTCGTATATGTGTCTTTCCATTGATTCTGTCAGTTACGAAAATTATCGTCGAACTAAAATTACGAAAACGACAGCAATAAAGATTAGATTTGAAAAATTTAGATACTAAATTCATGATGAAGCGTCTTCAACTGTCGGATGTTAATGAATAAAATATTTCAAAAAATGATTGTACGTTTAAAGCAATTTTACAAGTCAAATTTATGTCATTCAATTATTGACCTGAAAACTTGCTGGAGATCGAAAATTCATGAAAAATCGGTCAATAACTTTAGAAGAACAAATGAAAGGAGAGAATCGTTTTGGGCTTTCATTAAAGGTATCGACTTCTACAGATGAGAAGAATCTCCGAAAGTTGTGAACATTTCTTAATTATATCATAGTCAATAACGTTTTAAGTCAATGTCACTTTCTCATGAATAATAAAATAACTTAAAGTTACAGTTATTTTGCTTCTGAATTAGAATTCTAATAATCATATAATATGATTACCCTCAGATATAATTGTTTCTGGTGCTCGTCGTACAATAGTTCTTGTACGTCGTTGAGGCGAACCTTCATCTGGATATCTACTACGAACAGTTCGATATCTTGTTGTATATGATGGACGACGTACAAGTTCCAATCTATATTATGAAACTTATTAAATATATTTAGTATAAATCTATTAATACGAACATTTCATCATCAGGTTCATTTCCATAAGTTCTAATAATACGACGATTTGTTGGTGGACTTAACTAATGAAAATGAGAATAAATATTAATTTATATAGATACAAATAAAAAAGTTTTTACTCGTTGAACTGGATGATCATCGTCAACAACAATAACACGTTTACCATTCGATTGACCATACTGTTGTCGATCACGTTGATGTAATTGTCGTGCAAGTTTTTCATTTTCACGTGTTAAAATTTCATGATGACTTCGAATTTTTTGTGTTGTCATACCATTCAATCGACCACTAATTAAACCAGAAAAATTTTTATAATACAAAAATAAAAACAAAACACCGTAAAACATTTACTGAGTATCTTGTCGTTCGATTGCATCACTACTTCCTGATGAACGTATGGATGTTTGTGAACCTAATTTTATATAAATTATAATCAATTAATTAGTTAATTTTGATTCAATTTTGTTTTTTTACCTAAATCATGGTTTCGATTCTTTATTCTAGGTAGATTATTATTTGGTTGACCTCCTAATTTTTGTTTCAATTCATAATTTTCATCTTTTAATTTACGAACTTCAAGTTTTAAACGACTAATAACATTTTCTTTTGAATCTGTTTTTATTAGTGGAACATTTTCAATATTTTTTGCACGATTTGCATAACGTAATGTACTCAAACTTTCATTTTCACATAAGATTGATGGTGAAACACAAGCTATCTAGAAAAACAAAAAGAATTAACTTTATAATTTTATTGATAATTAGATATACCATTAATGTTATACCATGTCCACCTAAACTATCTGCTAAAAGTCGAGTTAACTTTGATTCACGATAGGGTACATGACCATTTAACTTGTTAGGATCACTTAAGGCCGAAATACATGTTCCTAGCAAAATAGTTTTTATTTATTTTTAAATAGAATATAGATATTTCTTGTTTTCGTTACCAAGTGTAAGTAAACTTTTATTGATATTATTTGTTTCGACAAGTTGTTTACCTTTTGAATGACTTACTTTTACTTTTTCACTACCTAAAAAAACGACAAAATTGTAAAAAATTTCACTTGCTTCAGGGCAATCGTACATAGTAGGATATATATGAAAAGCTAATTTCATCATGGATATAAAAGTAGAGATGTAACAAACTCGAGACTTTAGCTATTTCCAGAAATAGAACAACTTTGCTTTTATTGTTGTAAATGAAAATTCTTGAAACAGTTCAGTTTTATTAGAAAGAATTAATACAAAATTCCAAACAATTTGTATAGATTTATTACACATCTAGTTGGTACTCAGAATCTCTTATTTGTTTCTAAAACATCATCCAACAGTTCTATATGTTATGTACGAGAAAAGTATACGTTCACATTCTTACTCTCTGATAAATTTTCTACAAAAACAAGATGTGATAATAGTTCTTATGAAGAGAGCTGAACCGAAAATTGTATCTCAACATATAAGACTAGTCGATTTTTTTAATCTTAAATGACATTTACCAGCTAAATCGACAAAAGTTAATTTTCCTTGTCGTGTCATTTGTTCTTGTGGGTCATCATACTCTTGTAAATCTTGTTCAATTTGTATTGATAGCATAGCATGACTACGACTTGACATATCATTAAGATGATGTGAAGCCATAGCTCGATTTAATTCACCTATATTAATAACAAATAATCTATGAAATATTATTTTTTGTTTACTTATTCATTTATACCTTCTTCAAGTATAGTTAATAATTCATCTATTGTTTCAATATATGTTTGATAAAGATTTTCAACATAAAATCCATCTTCAATTGAACCACGTACTTGTAAATTATCTGGATTTTCAGGACGAATTAAATCACGAATCTAATTTAAAATTTTCTTTTTAATGAAAGACAAAAAAACAAAGATTTCTTAAATAATTATACTTGTTCATTATATATTTCACAATAAGCTACACGAATAAAATATGGAGTATTTGTTTCTTGTGTTTTTTCTCGTAATCTTTGAAATAAATAATTTATCGCACGTGGTGCTATACCAAAATTTTTTGCACGATAATTTTCATCCATGCGAAACTATGAATAAATATAAGTAAATTTCTATATTTATATATATATAAACAACACATACAATAGCAGCACCTCCTGGACCAACCATCGTATGTGTTTTTCCACTACCTGTTTGACCATATGCAAAACAAGTTGCAACATATCTAAATATTTTCAACGAAAATTAAATATGTTTTTAAATATTATACAGTATAAGATACCCTTCAATAGCTAAGTCAACCAAACGTTTAATGCCACTATAACGAAATACTTCTTCTTGTGTTGATCTTTCATCAAATACACTGTCAAAAGTAAATCGACGGCTATGTTGACCTCCTTCGACCTATTTTATTAAAATATTTTCTTTATATTAAAATTAACGAACAAGAAAAAACATACGATAATAGAAGTTTCACTTTCACAGCGCAACACTGTTTGTGGCTCTTTCTGATTTTCTAGTTCGCGCTCGTTCAGCGGTCGAATACTAAAACAAAAAAACAATTATTACATGCAAAAACACTAATTAAACCGAACTACTTACCGAACAATAACACGTATACGATCTTTTTCAGGGACAATCGAATCTGTTGCTTCATTTCGAAAGATACTAAATAAAAAAAAAATAGACATAACTTTTATTGTTAGTTCTTTTTATCAATCACTTCTGTAATCATAAAAATGATGTAAATATTTATCGAATCAAAAAATATTCTATTGCTTAAATATTTCTATCATAAGAGGATAGACGTTTCATGAGTTTATATATACCTATCACTAGATGAAAAACTTTTTTCAGTAACTGTCCAATTAGTGACTGATGAATTAGTCGAGTCTGTTTGAATATCACGACTAATATTGTTATTATGCGATGGTGGAATTCCAATAATTTTAATTGTAGGTATCGTGTTAGATGTTTTCATTCGTGTTAATGCACCATTATTAGTAGGATTAGTTTCTCTGACATGTATACGTTCTGGTACGTCCGGCTCAGATGGTGATGGTTCAGTAATTATTATTTTAATATCATTATTTGATGGAATTTCAATATGGGAAATATTCGAAGAAGACGAATATAATGGATGCCCTTGTATAGAATATGTCTCAATCTGTGACTTGGGCATTTAACGTTGTTTTTTCTTTATAGGAAATGAGTCGGAATAGAAAAAATATTTTTCAACACTTATTTTTTCTCTACGAGTTACTCAGACGTTATGCTATAATAACAATTCAGTTTTCTTTTTCCTGCTTCATGAATTGCTCTTGATAATTATTGATCAATGTTAATTTTAATCGTTTGCTAATATAAGAGAAAAAAATCATTCTAGAAACCCATCTTTAATAAAACAAATCTTCAAGGTTTTCATGGATAATAATAAATTCAAATGATTTTAGCATAAAAGGAAATTTCCAAATAACATTTTTTTTCTTGTCATGACTATGAAACAGAAACCTTTTTTTTTTTTATTGAACCATTGATGTAAATAAAAGTAGTATGATTGCATTTAATTTACTTTGACAGAAGACTATTCATAGGAAATTCCAAAGTGGCCTATGGCAACGAAGTGGAAGTTAATTCATAATAATAACGCTATTTTTTTTTTCCTCAACTCATAGTTTGCCGATCAATAAGTAGATGTTAGCTCGATAAGAAAAGAAAACAGTCGTTTTTCAAACGACGCAAAAAAAGAATTGAGTCAAATGATAGATGTAAAACAAAACAAAAAAAGTATATCAATTCTAATTTATGCATAAAAATCATATTTCTTTTGTTTAGTTAAATAAATATAACAACAATGGACTTATTAGTAAACTCACGTTCTCTGTACTGGAGCAGAATTATTCGGTTCATGTTCATCATAGTACTGTGTCGATGACTGTTCATATTCTTCAGGTTTCTGTGGATCTTGTACATATTCATAACCACCATTCGGTAGTGATTTTGGATAATATGGATAATAAACATATTCATCATATTCATCGTTTTCTGGTGCTGATTGTTGCTCTTGCTGAGCAGCAGCTCGTTTCGATGAAGTCGCCATTTTACTTTCGATGTACTCTTATAACTTTATTAAATCACCATGTGTATGTGCATATATGTCTTTCTCTCTTTTTTTTTATACTGCTGCCATAACAAATATATGTTTATACATGATTCTTTACAAACGAAAAATTCAACCAGCTTTTTCTCTCATTTTTCAGTCGTTTTTTTTTTTCTTTTATGTTGTTCATAAAATAAACTCGATTGGAAAAAAAACTGAAAGGAACGAGTAATAGAGGATGACGAAGAAAAAATAAAATAAGAGCATTCGAATTGTTTGTGAAAAAGAAGCCTTCGCTTTAAAAAAGTTGTTGTTTATATAAAAAACGAAATTACTTTTTAAAGAATAAACACTGTCAAATGAGGTGAAACAAACTTTACATAGCAAAACATTGTAATGGCTGCATGGATGAGAAAAAAAGAAAGTAACCGGGCTTGGCCGGGGATTGAACCCGGGACCTCTCGCACCCTAAGCGAGAATCATACCACTAGACCACCAAGCCATGCTCTTGTTTGATACGATATTGTTCAATATGCAAACAAAACTAATGAAGCTGGCAGCAACAAATTCTAATTTTTCTTCCATTTTATTACTCAGTAGATTAATAGCTACAGAAAAAAATGAAATAGTTAATAAAATTTCAAAGTTTCTATGATCATTTTCTTTTTTCAATCAGTTCACTATATTCATGTATTTATTTAGCATTAGAACTGAACAAACAGTTCATCTAAACAGAATAAAGAAGAGATACATAAAAGTAAATAAACATATGTTCAAACATAAAAACCACAGAGAGTAAAAGAAAAGAAAAAAAAACAACTATTTATTGAGAATATATCCAGCATTTTAAATGCCATTATAATTTTTAACATACATAATTTTTAACGTTGTCCAGATCCTGGAAGTGTATTCGATTTACGTCGAATAGAAACATTCGATAATACAGATGATATTGATTTTGTCGATGAAATTTGTGATTCTTTAGATGAAATTTTTATTTGAGCTTTTCTATCACGTAGCCAAGCTCGTACATTAAATTTTTTCATTAATATCGATGAAGACAAACGTTGATTATTTCCTAATATTTTTGAATTTGATAAAATTTTATATTTTAATCGAAATTGTAATGGTGATAATTTTTCTAATTGATTTGTAATACATTCAAATAAATCATTATTAGTATTAACAAGTAAAAATGCTGATGATTCATAATATGTATTTAATAATTTACGATTAGAAATAAAATGTGTTAACCATGAAGCAAGTTCATGAAGACTAGAACAAAAAAAAAAGAAAAAGAAAAACTAACGAATACATTTTTTAATTTGGGTTTTTATTTTTTACTTGAGTAAATGATATATAAATGAATTAAATTTTTCAATCCAATCTATTGTAGATGGTATGTCAAGTTGTGCTTTCATTTTAGCTTCATTAAATCGACTCGTTATTGGCGTTAATAATTCAATTACACGCCATAAATTCATCTTTTTTGAAAATAAAGAACCAGAATATTGTCGTAAACCATCGTCAAGTATTTCGCGTAATAATGAACATAAATCTTGACGAAGTATTCGATCTAATTCATAATTTATTTGATTATTTAAATAATAAGACTAAAAATAAAAGAAATAGTACAAAAGAAGAAAAATAATAGATTCTACCTTTGGATCACCACATTTTATTTCTAATATATGAAGAATTGTATTTGAAAATGCATCAATTAAATATTTATCAGTTGTATTTTTTAATGGAAATCGTTTTGTTAGATTTGTTGGTACATTTTCAATAAAATTTATCAATTGATCTTCATTTTTATCATCATCAGATAGATTAAATTCATTTGGTGGACTATCAATTAAATATTCTTGTGGTATTAAATCACAATAATCTAAAAAACTGAAACTTTAAAACACAAATAACAATGAAAGATTTATATTCAATACCTTCATATGGATATTTGGGACTTGTTGACGATGTAATAAGTCGTCGAACAATTTCATCACAAAAACTAACATTTTTCTTCGTTTGAAGATCATGTTCAGATAAAGTACAAGTTTTATTTCTTGTTCGAATTTTTAATAAAAGATTTTGTTTATGTGATGACGTAGTTGATACTGAAGAATGTCTAGTTTTTAATGTATCATTTTCATTATGAACACATCGATTAGGTAATGAAATTATATCTTCAGAAACACCAACAGCACGAACATTTGCTGTTGACGATGCATTTGTTGATTGCTCAGTTTTAGCGCGTTTTAGACATGATTTAAGAGGATACGGAGATGAACGTGTTTGAATATGATGTGGCTGATTCGTTGAACTATTACTAAAATAACCACTACTTGATATACTTGAGCATGTCGATGAGAATGCTTCAGTTTCTTCTGTAGACATTTTAGATGGGCAAATTTTAAGATTTTGCATACGTTTAGTTTCTTTATGTTTTTGAATTGTTGATAATGATGGATACAATGTTTTAGTTTGATTAGGACCATTAATACTAAAATAGAAAATCGTATATGTAGCCTTTTTTGTTAATGATAATGGTTCCGACAATGTGCTTTTCATTGCTGTACAAAATTGATTTGTTACTGTTAATAATGATGGTGGATTTTCTTTAGCATAATATGTAAGAAAATCAAGATTCGGTAATGAATGATGAGATGTAGAAGATGAATGAGTAGGATTGTTCAATAGGTGATTAACATTTTTCGAATGAGTAACGATAAAATTATCTTTTTCAGAAAGACTAATTGATGTTTGAAGACATTGATCAACACTATTTTTAGATTGTTCTTGTTTAATGGAATTTGAACATAATGATGATGATGATGATGAAGATGATGATGTTAATGAATCACATATACTTTTATCACTAAAATTTTCATATAAATGACATGGATGTTGTTGAGATTTTGTACGTTGAAATAAATGATATAATTTTAATGGATTAGATGCATTATGATCCTTATTAGATGTATTTCTTGATGATAAATAACTATGATTCATAGATTTTGTTTTTATTTCATGCCATGATGTTTGAGGTCGATCTGATAATGATGTTGTACTATCTGAATTGAAATGCATTGACCATTGAGAAAGATTTTTTTCTTGACAAGTATTTTGTTGATTATGTTCAAAGGCAAGATAATGACAATTATAATTTTCATACAAATCCCAATGGAAACCTTCATATTGACTATTATGAAATGGTGATAGATTTTTTTGATAATGACTTCCATATGATGAAAATATTGATCGATGACCACTAAGCCAAAGCTCATCATCATCATCGTCAGCATCATCAGGATTATCAACAGATGATTGATATGCATGAGATTCTTTTTGTGCCATTGATAAATCAACAGTTTTTAAATGATTATCAATTGAATCAAGTAATTGAGAAACTAATGTTGTTTCATAATGTTCATTGAACATAAAATCAGCTATGCAAAAAAAGAAAATATTACATTACTCATTTTCTTCTTTTCTTTTTTTTGTGTTCAAAATTTCAATGTTAATGATGATATGCTTGACAAATATAATCGAAAATGATAAATCTTATTATAAACAAGTCAAAATAATAGAAAAAAAAGATACAAGAATTTATTATAATGTTTAGATAATAAAGTATAAGATTTGACTTGTTATTTTTGTTCTTGTCAATAAAAATAAATGTAAAGATCGAGTACATAAGTGATGATAGAAAGCAAAGACGGATATGCAAGGCTTTTCATGATGACATTGACTTTTCTTTCGATGACGAATAATGAAAGAGATGAGAAAGGCGAACCGAAAGATGATGAGAATTAATGATGAGCCTGCAGATGTTTTCTCAAATAGTTATTTTGACAAATGTAAACCTTGAAATGCTTGACTACACCCAGACACATACAGAATGAGAAAAAAATGATTAAAAAAAGATATACTTAATAAAACATGCTTTTTCTATTTACTTAGTTATATATACTTCGATAATCATACTAACACTGTATTGCTCTTTTAGAAATACAAGACTAAATACTTAAATTAAATGATCAGTCATAGACATACATTTATTCATGCGCACGCTAAATATACAGTTCAAGCGTCTTTTTTTTATTCTTTATTACTACTCCTGTCAAATATGAACCATTACTATCAAACATATATTTTCGTATGATAGATAAATCATATTCGTATATGATTTACATTTGTTTATACATCTAACACCAAGGATAAAAGACAAAGAGTTCCCGTATGTATGTGTAGATGAACGATCTTTAACTTTTTCTACTGAAATATTTTCATTTATTTCTTTGTTTTAGCATTAAGAGACATTTTTCTAGACAACTATATAATCAAAAAAGAAAAAAAAAAATTCTTAATTACTTAAACGAACTTTCTTATTTTAATTGACTGATCTCGATAAGTGTGAAACAGAACAGCTGCGAATCTAACGACGATGTATATATACATTCAATTTATATTCGTCTATTATAATTAATAGAGAGAAACGAGAAAGAAAGCTTCTATAAGAGTCGCCACCTGGTACTGTCTGGTTACACAATTGAGTACATTTGTTAAATAGAAGAAGAAAGAACTTACTGATTGTCTTCTATTAATCTATATGAATGACATTAAACTGTAGCATATATCATCTGAGGTCAAACATAGAAAAAAATTGACATGATCAATTGCTTCTATATGAGTATATATCTTCTTGTCAATGCTTGGTTCTTTTTGACTACGATGAAATATTTAGGGTGTGCACGTTGTTTCTAACCACATACAATAGAAAGAGAAACAGTGGTAGGAGGGGGAAAAAAAGGGAAAAACGAGGAAGCGAAGAAAAATCGACATTAGTACCAGTAACACATCATCCGTGCTTTAGCCGCTTGATTCAATCAAGAGACAATCTATTATGTGTTCTCTTCTTTTTCTTTTCTCACTTCTTCGTACGGCCACTAATAGGTTTATCTTAACCCATTCTTTCTTTTCTTTCTTTACGATAAATTTGGATCGGATGTCCGGCAACACATTCTTATACTTTGGTGTGAGGCCTTTTGTAACTCATCTATCGAAAATGATGCTGAGAATATTGTTGTTGAATCATCTTTCTCTTTACTTAAATCTGTTATTTCATAAGAGATGAAGAAGAAGAAAAGAACAAATATGCATCTATCTTCTTGTCTGTCTAGAATAAACAGACAGGAAATCGAGTCCATTAATCGCTAGTATTTCTTCAATAACCAATGTATCACTTGTTATATTATATAAATGGACACATGTGTTAATTCAAAGAAGAAAAGTCGTATGATGATAATCTTACTTGAATGATTTTCAAGATATTCTGTTAACATGTGTATGAATGTCAAATGAAATATGATATTAAGTTTCAATCTTTTTTTTTTCTATCCACCATTTGCAAGGTTCTTCTATTCAGCTTGACCTCATTTCTTTTTCATTCACCTGCTGTGTTAATGAATCAGTAATAGCAGGAACAAAATAAACCATTAGACACGATGATACAGGTTGAACGTATATTCAAAGAAATAAAAGTAGTATGAAATGAATATTCATTTCATTTCTATTCATTATGAAAATAAACAATCAATTTCTCAAGTGAAATAGACATTAACCAAATATTGATTCATATTTTTTTCAGAATAAAAACACAAACTACAATAATTATTATCATCATCATCATCATCATCATTAGTTTTCAGATCATGATTAACAAATATACAAATAAAAGAAACTATGGAATAACCGCTGCGTTCGATCTGCCATCGTTTAAATTGTATTTTGCTCGAATTTGATCACGTATTGCTTGACGTTCTGTTTCAGCCTGATCAAATTGATGCCGTTTTTCAGTCTTTTGTCTTTCATGTTCTGCTTCTTCTCGTGCATATGCTTTTCGTCGTGACCATTTGGCACATTGTTCACACTGTCGACATAAACAACAAATCTAAAAAATATAAAATAAAATAATTAAAAAAAAGAAAAAAAAACTAAAAATAATTTTATTCAATTACTTACCAATATGATCACAATAATTACAACAACAACTACTGCAATCACTATTATTGCAATCAGAGCATCTGGACTCAATGTAACCATTTTGAATAAGAAAAAATAATATGATCTAAAATCTTAAAAAAGTTTTTTAATAGAAATGTTTCATTATTATCTCTACGATTTTGTTTAAAGAAAAACAAGTAACAGAAAAACTCTGACTGTGTTCATGACTCATATTTTGTAGATATAAGGAAAACATAGATTAAGAATTTTCTCAAGGTTGTATATTTCTCATATTAATAGTGTCAATTTATCCGACAAAAATAACGTTCATATTAAGTCTAAAAAAAAAGTTTTCTTTGTTGTATGAGAAATAAATTTGTCGTCATTTGTTTCTACTTACTCACGCCAAATGGCTACCTGACAACAGAGCTTTCAAATAAAAGAATAATTTTTTTTTTTCATTTCTACTTCCTTAGCGTTTTTTTTCTTGTTCTTTAGAAAAGAAAAGCAGAAAGTCTCTCATTACTATTATGATGAAAATATTTTTCAACATTAAGAAGATGACTCATCAATCGACTCATACTCAAAAAAAAAAAAGGAGACATGACAAGCTGCACTACACAGTATTTGACCAATGAATCGAATAAGACTGTGTAATCATGTAGAAGCAGAGTTGAGAAGGATACGTTTTTTTGTTCTTAATAAAAAAATTTGAATCACAAATGAAATATTGACATCAGACAAACAAATGATTATATGCTTCCTTTTGGTCAATATATAAGTAGAAAAAAAATTTATCGAAGAAGTTTATGAAAATCTGCGTTTACTAGAATTGAATGGAAATATTTCAATATATGAATTTTGTTGATGATACGATTAGAAGAAAAGACTTTCATTAACTTGTCACATGATAATACATATGTATCAAGTGATTCTGAACATCCTTGTAAAGAAATTATGAATGAAGAAGTTTTATAAACAATTCTTATGATATCTTGTAATTAATTAGGATCATCTTATCCTATTGAAAACAAGGCCAATAGTCTAGACCATATTACATATTAATATTTATGAAAAATTTACTATAATACAATGAAAACTCTCGATTCCACAGAAAAGATATAATTAAAGACATCATAAATAAAATGAATCAAGATTGAGAGCTTTGCAAATATAATAATTAATTATTTCTTCTAGTTTTTATTCATGTACAAGGATAAATTATATCATGGATTCTGTTTTAATTAGTCGAATCTTTGAGTAACTTTCTTATATAGATATGTGATATGTAGATAAAATTTTTGTTCAAGTTAAGTACTTCAGACTGTTACGATACGTAATTGCACTCTATTCCTATGAAATTAAATAAACGATCTTATATGTCAAATCAAGTTCAGTAGCTTTGGGAAATTATTGGGATTCTTCTATAAATTAGGTTATGTGTGTTACTATCAAACGAAAGAAACTAGAGAGAAGACAGGCATCTAGCCGATGACGATGGTGAGAACAACATTTAGGACAGTCAATCTGCTGAAGGTCTAGGCTGACTCTTCAGGACTATGGCTTTTTTTTGGTGCAGTTAAAATGTATTATATACTATCAATAGATAAGTTCCGATAAATCTGGGTAGTCTCTCATTAACTGCATCAAATTTGAGAAATTTGATGATCAGTTGTTTAAGTATTATATGTCGGAAACTAGTTGATTTATTTATATCTTGAATCATCTCTGTGCTAGATTACATAAAGAGTAATGTTTTTATAACAAAGTCGACATGGTATCCGCAATGACCGATTTTGAGTTAATTTTTCTAATAATTACATATCCATACTGTTATCCAAGGATGTTTGATTTTTTTCCTTCTAATATGTACAAACCAATGACTTCAAGCGTATGCACAATTTACTATCCGTTGATTATGTGAACGAAGAGAAGCGAGCAAATGAGTAGTCATTGCGATAGTCAAAGTGTGAGTGTAGAATATATGGCGCTTCACATTAGATTCAGACTTGTACCCACATTCATACACTACTTTCTTCCAAATGATCAGCTAAAAGTTAATCCTCACAGAAGAAAAACGTTAATTAGAAAATATTATTTATGTAATCAACAAGCTGTAAATTTTGTAAGTCGACTTCAAGACATTTCGTCTTATCTTCAATATTTTATTTTGGCACAATGCTTTTCGGTTCTCTTTGTTCATTTAATTAAATACTAAAGATGTTTGCAGAAAAAAAACAATCTCATACTGCTGATATTTCCAATTTTTTTTTCTTAGTTACAATTTGAATATTTTATTGATCATTTCGATTGATGACTCTTCGATTTGTTGCAATGAATGGAATTAAAGTTGATCTTTCTTTTGTATCACGAACAATAGCTTTGGCAATTAACGTTGCTGTTTGATTAAGTTTCAATTGTTGAATATAATCTCGAATATCTTCATCGACAGCTTTGTATTGTCCAATTGACGATTATTCATGTCAGATTTGATATCATGAAAATCAAACAATTCATTTTTTTAAACACATCAATTACTTTTCTTAGTAGTTCGTTGATATTTTGTACCCACACTTTTGATGCTTAACAGTGAAAGTAACCTTAAAGTAAATAACAATGAAAACACGATTGAATATGATTTCAACGATAATAGTAAAATTATGAATTCTCTTAATAATATTTTCAAAGAAATAATCTACTTCTTTCGTTGAAATAAAGAGACTGTTTGAACATAGTTCTCATTCATTTTATTCGTATACAATGGCTGTAATTTTGTTTTAACATACTCTATTGTTAAACACAAGACTTTAATTGTTTCAATGAGAAATATGTTTAAGCTACATCCACATTCTTCATTTTTACTGGCAAGGTTGTTCGGTTCATTGTTTTCATTTAAAATTATTGCAATTGACATATTTCCAGTCGGTTTGTGGATTAATTTTTTTTGCATCTGAATTAATAGACAATTATCTGGGATTTTTTTTGAGATAATTGAATGATAAAGAAAACAAGAAATGTCTTGAAGCAAGAATTCAATCATGCTTGGATACCAACGTGGAAATATATTTCACTCCAAACTAACTAAAATTTTCTCATGTTTATGCAAATTGATTCTCAATAATAAAATATCCTATGTTTTCTATTCAGTTTTATAGCCATTTTTCTTTTCTAACTGACGAGCTTTTAGAACAGAATCGTATCATTTTTTGTTTGTTTTTGTTTGCATAAAACAAGTACAGCGTGATCTAACAGATAGACCATAATCAATGGCTGCTTTTGCCAGTCATCTTTTCGTTACATAATACAGTTTGTTTTTTGCAAAACAATAACCTCATTAACTTAATTCTCATATCTCAATGATGAAATATTTTTGTTTTTTTGTTGTTGTTTTTTATGTCAAACATTAACGTTCACGATAAAATAATTCTAAAAACTCCCTACTGTGAACTTTGATTCATTATTGAGTTTATTCTTTTGTGTTTTTCTTTGGTGAATAAAACAACAGTATAGTAATAAAAAAAAAACAACATACACAAATATTTTATGATATTGCATTTAGTTCATATGATTGTTTAAATTCTTAATAAACATGAACCATTCCATAAAGAAATGTCCAAAAAAGTACATAAGTAAGTAAACCATTAAAAAATCCATAAATAAATATGTGATTTAAACTAGTGAAAAATTTTCGATGTTCATTTCTAATATACAAATAAATGAGAAAACTAAGAAAAAACATTGAAAATGCATAAAAAATAAATCCTTTATATGATGTTAAACCAAGAATACCAGCTACACAACCGGATAAGGCACTAACAGATGTACGACATTGTTCAAGACTATTTTCATTAAAACGAACAGCTACTTCACTATATAAAACAGGTTCAATATTTCGAACATTATTTTCTTTTGAGGATGATGATGATGATTTTGAAGATGTGTTTGAACGAGAATTAGTCGTTGTACGACGAATTTGCATTTCATTATTAGTCGACATGATTTCTTTCAATTATAAGAATTGAAAATACATATACATCTAAAAACACATAAAAGGAGAAAAAAGAATGCTTTGTTTTCGAGAATATCATAGCTATAATGAACAATGACAGACAATAGACATCCATTGAAATATAAAAACAAAATACAAGAGAATAAACAAGGAGTATTAAAAGTAGTCAATTATTTAAAAAGTGCTTAAGAAGCTGTACGTTTATATATATAAAGATAAGCTAAATCTTTTGGGGGATGTTCAGAAAGTGCAACAGTTTCGTCATTAAATATAACCCATCGACCATCTTTATAGATATGTGCAACATAGTGACCACATGATGTATTATTACCAATGTGTGAAATGAATGCAACAAGACGATATTTACCATGACCATCACGATAATAAGAAGTCATTGAAGGTGAATGTATAGATGGTGAAGATTGAGGTAAAGATTCAATAAGTCTATGTAGTGTTGAATCATTTTCAGCATTACTAGATGCCCAATCAACAGCTGCTTCGACATTATTATTTGTCATTTCTAATGCGCGAATACTGTGTGCATGAGAAAAACCCATTGAAATAAGTATAGCAATGTTTTCTTCATCTACCTATAGTCAATATAGAAAATGAAAAGTTAACTTTGATTTTTCTTTTAAATATTAAACTTACAGTTGATGTTGATGATTTATTTGTTGCTTGATATGGTGTATCAAAATCAGGATCTGATTGATGTTCGAATACCCAATTCATTGCTGCTTCGATATTATTATTTCCCGTATTAATTAATGCTTTCTTACAACCTTCAGCTGAAAAACCCATACTAACAAGTTGTTCTAAAAGAACTTCATTGATTTGTGAATCTGAAGCTGGCGTGACTTTTTCCTCATCTAAATAATCACAAAAATGTCGAAGAAAACAGAAAAAAATAAAGTTTTTTTTTCGATCCTACCATCTGGCATACATGTTTCACCATGTTGTACACCAGTTGCACGTAATGAATTAAGATCAATGTCATCAGGTATTTCCATTGATACGTCAATTTTTCTTGGTGTCCAATCATCATTAAATGTATATTTTTTTAATTGAATAAGAAGATAATCAGGAAATGTTAAAAATCGTTGTGTTTTTCGAATAACGACTTTTGGTTGATTTCGATTTATTTTAAAATCTTCAATTACTTCTGGTTCAGCCCATCGAGCAATAGCTTGTGTAAGTGGAATAATCGGACGTACAACTGGTAAATCATTTGTTTTAAGTCCCTGTTTTTCCATATCTTCTTTTGTTTTATTATAATGAAGAACTTCATGCATATTTTTAGAAGCATCTAATGGAATATTCATTCGAAACATAGTATCATTTCGAGTTAAATATCGAACTTGAGTTGTTTCGGGACAGTAAAGACGTTCTTCTAATTGAAATTGAAAACATGTACTTGGATCAAGTGATGCATCAGGTGTTGGATCATTTAAACAATGTTTATGTACTTGTTCAAGAAAATATTCTAAAAATTCTGCAGCGTCTTGTTGTTGTTTAGTACCAAATTCTGGATGACCATGACCAATTAATGAACGAAACATTTGTGGTCGAATAACTGATGGTGGTCTAAATGATAAATCACTGTCAGCAGGCATGTCTCGTGAATAAAGACCAGATAATAAACCAAACGCTAATTTAGCTGTTTGTCCATTAAAATCATTTACTGGATCTTTAGCATGATCAAAATAAAATTCACAATTTTTATAATATTTTTCTTGAAAATCTTTTATTGTAAATAAAACTTGCATTACAGAATTCATATAACATGAATTTCCTAAATTTCTCATCCCGGTATAGCCTAAAAAAAAGATCAAAGTCATAAGAAAAAAAACTACTTGATATTTACAAAAGAACACAAAAGTCCTTTAACCGAAGAAGAAATCATTTTTGTCATATTTTGATCAAATAAGCTGATGTATAAGAATCTTTTTGATACATTACGAATGATTTCGACATAGAAATGCAGTCTTTTTCTATTGCTTTCGACGAAGAATTCCGCAAGTAATCGAGAAAGACTGCATATCTATGTCGAAATCAATATAGTCATGCATGAAAACGCTTCTTTTCAATATTTTCCTTAAGAATATAAACAACTTGAAAAATTGTCGTTTTTATCTAGCGAAGTTCTAGCGTTTCACTATTTTATTTTTATTCACCGATTTCCAAGAAGTGCACAACCTCGCTTCCCAATCCTGGCGACTTCACGACACCCCTTTGCCATCGATCAAAATAAATCAACCTATTTGGTCAAGCTATAACGTAGATAAATAATTTTTTCTTCAGGTAACGAACTTTGGGGTTATCCTGTAGATATTAATAATTTACCTGCTCCATGAACAGGTTCTAATTTTGAATTAGCTTCTTGAATTATGGATGCTTCACCATATTTTTTATTTATTTCGATTTCTAAATCAGCCATTGATCGATCAGTTTTTTCCATGTTCATCATATTTATTCCCCAATGTGACAAATGAATAGCAAGATTTGGATCGTCAACCATATCATCTTCATCATAAGAATAAACATCTGCACCCTTACTAGTTATTGTACCTATAAGAAAACAAAACAAAAAAAAAAAAAAAAACTTTCAAAATAAAACAACTCAAACAAGAAGTTACAATTTCACTAACCAAGTTTAGCAGCTAATGGATATTTTGTTTTATAATAATGTTCAACTGCATGATTATTTCCACCAGTACCATCGTAAAATTTTCTTCCACATAAAATCGATCCATCAGTTAAATTTAACCATAAATTATCTTTTAAATCACATTGTTCACATTTCCAACCATTTGGTGGAATTTTTCGATCATTATTTAATTGTTCTAATGTTTGAGCATGTTTTGTTACTTGACGAATTTCTCCATTCCATGTTGCGTTCATTGATGCACGTTCTTCTTTTAAAAATGCTGATTCAGCAGCAATAATAGCATCAGCTGATTTTTTAACATGTTCAGGTAATTTATCAGCTCCATCTGGATACGCAATAATTACATTTGGATGTACGTAAACTGAATATTTTTCTTCAAATGTAAATCGTTTTGATCCATTAACATCAAATCCACCTTCAATACCAATAGCCATTTTTGTTACTTTCGTTGGTTCAACATTTGGATCAACTGGTATTGGTTTTCTTCTTCGTGATATATGTAAAAAGACATTTTTATCAGGATTCAGTTTACAATGTCTTGCAACATGATCTTTTCCAAGTCCACGAAACGTTGACATACAAATAAAAAGTCCATTTTCAGATTCAGGATTATCAAATGAATAAAGACATTCATCTTTATATACTTTATCATCTGCATTAGGTATACGAACATTTTTATAAATATCCGCCATAATTTTTATTGTAATCTGAAATTAAAATGTATGATTTTTGAAATGTTTATAGATGAGATTCTAATACTGATTTATAAAGATACAAATATACCAACGACTAGACAATTATTAAAATTGCGAAAAAAAAAAAACAGAAAAAAATTATGTATTGATATTTTCGTCGTAGTAAATAATTTTTGTTCATCAACGGTTTTAAATTGTTCTCTTTTTCGATTGTTAAATTTCAGGTGGTTTGATAATGAACAATAATATTCATTCTATTCATCATTTTCCTCTTCTTCTACTAGGCTAGGTACATTTTCTTCATCGGATGATGGTAAACTTTCGTCTTGATCAACATTACTTTCATCTTCACTAGGTGATTTCGATGCAGAACAACATTCATCATCAGTCTAGAATTTATTAAAAAATATTAAAAAAAAGTTTTCATTACAAATTTTATTTTTACCTTTGGAGATTTATTAGCATTTTTAGTTACGGTATTAACTTTCTCTGAAGCCATGTCAAGTGCAGTTAAAATTTTACACATTTGAGCTTCTGTAGAAGCCAGACGTGCTTGCAATTGAGTAATTTCACTATTATCTATTAGTAATACACATTAAAAATTGAATTTATCTTATTATAAATGAAGTGAAAGCAAAAAACTTAGAAACACAATATTTTTGACTTTTTTTTCTTAAAGATAACAGCTAAAATAAATTAAACCAAAGGTTTGATTAGTTATAACAATCTTCTATCAGAAGAAGTACTTGTCAAATTCCCATTGACAGGTCTTTGGAAAATCAGTTTTCTGTATTCTATCAAAAACATTTTGCACTCTAGTTCATCTAATAGAGAAAATATTTCTAAACAATATAAAATGTCCCTGAACTTTTCATGACCTATCTTTAACTAACTGCACTCATTCTACAAACAGTCTTAATATGTGAAACACTGAAAATTCATATAAATACAACAGAAAACAGACTAGCACACAATGATTGTTATTCACTGAAGACAAGTTGTGGCCAACTTATGGATATTTTATTTTGTTCAAAAATGTTTTCTCTCTTAAATAAAGTTGTTTACAAAATATTTTTGAAAAAATTCAGAAAATTGATTTTCCAGAGATCTTTCTTTCACTCAAGTCTGTTAATGAAAATTTGATAAATATCTCTTTTGATAGGAAATTGTTTCAGTTAATCAAATATATCCTTTGATTTGTTCTAGCTGTTACCTTTAAGAAAAAAAATCAAAAGATATTGCGTTTCTAAATCTATTGCCTTTATCTTACCTAAAGTATCTCGACTTTCTTTGGTAACTAATTTTGAGCTTATAAATGATAAAGATTTTTTCATTTCTTCAAGAGCATAATGCACTAGAAATATTTTATTTAACAAAACAAAAATCTATTCATGAGCATAAAACAATACTTTGTCTTTGTTCGTCAGTCATAGCTCGTTCAGCTTCTAATGCTTTTCGTTTTTTAGCTTTTAAAAATTCAATATAGTCTGTATCTAAGCCTATAAAAAGAACTTTTCTTTTTTTTTGTAAACAAATAATTAAATATATAAAAACAAAATAAATTTACCACCGTATAATTCTTCTTTATTATCTTCTTCTTCACTATC